TAAAATAAAGAAAATAATTTAAAAAAAATAATTGTAAAGCAATAATTCAGTTTATATCTTTTTTTTTATATTATAGATTGATCATTTTTTTTTATTTGATTTCGATTTTTTATTTAATTCTCTTTTAAATGATACCCAAAACATTAAACTAACTTTTTCATTGTAAAAAAATGATTTTTAAAAAAAAAAAAAAAATTAATTAAATTGATTATTTGTATGATTTTTACAACTAAATTTAAGAAATAATATTAGATTTTTTATTTAATTATTAGTTTTATTAAAAAAAATAATTATAAAGAAATTTATAATATATTTAAAAATTATAAATATGTGTTTTTTTAAATAAAAAAATAAAGGAGATTTTGATCCATGTTTTAATCCATGTAGTGGTAACAGTAACATTATTAATATTGATATTGATATTGGTCATCGTCGTAAAAGATGCTGCTAAATTTACTCTAAAAAAAAATTATATTTATATATTACCTTAAACTAATTCGAGTAATTCTAAAATAACCTATCTATTTTTGAGATCTCTTAAGAGTGATTCTTTGAGCGTACTAAATTTTAAAAGTTGATGATTTGTTTGTTCTTTTAAAAGATTTAACTTTTCTTCCATTCATTGTCTTATCTCCTCTTCGATATTTTCAATTTTCAGTTTTACAGTAATTGAGTATTTTCACCTGTAGCACCGTGTGACTGTTATTTCTTTATAAGGACTGCCTTTGGTTTGCTACATTTGGCACTAAATTGATTTTTAACTATTAATTATTATAATATGTTTTAATATTAGCTTTCTTAAAGGCTTCTAATAACTGAGGCTGATTATTGATTTACTGAATTAATACTATTATTTTTTTAAATATAGATGACTAAAATTGGAGTATTTAAATATTGTGCTCTATTATTAAATTTATTTAATTCGATATTTAAATATATATTTGATTGTTTTTTTGAATTATTTGATTGATTGCTAAAATCCTGTTTTGATGATGCTGCAGAACCTAATACTGAAAAGATTTCGGGTAGGTCATATTCTAATATTCTCCTTTAGCTATTTAGACAAAATCTACATTATTAAATTGTTGTTGTTAGCTTGATTTATTCTTTATCCTGTATATTTTGATTTAATTAAAGATATGAGAATAAGTTGCAATCTGCAGAGGTTTTAATTTACATTTCCACAATGAATAAATAACCTATATATACTTGAAAAGTTCTAATCCTTGGCAATTCTGATTATAAGTTTGCATTTATAAAGTAGAAAAAATGGTGGGAGATGCCAGTAGAAGGATGAAGCATAAAACTATATGAGAATTTTAGTTTCTGACTTTGTGACTTTTTATGATAGTTATTGATATTAATTTGAGATTATTATTATTATTATTATTATTATTATTGAGCAATAGTTCATGATTGGATTGGTATTTATTAATTTAATTTATGTCTGTGGATCTGCGTCTATTTTCTATATTTCTTCAACGATGCTAATTTTTATGTGTGTGGGTTTGTTGTTATTATTGTTGTTGTTTTTGTTGATTTAAAATAATGTATTGATTCCTAAATTGTTTCCTTAAAAAAGGTT